GAAAGAGTAAGCCTGTTATTGGTAGATTCACTACAGCGTTTGCTATGCCAGGGTCTAGGTTTTCATTGCAGGCATTTTGGAAAGCTTGGAGCAACTGGTCTATAGCATTAAAGAGCACATTACAGATGTAAATTAAAAGCTGTAAGTTTACTTTAATACAGAATTACTGAGCTCATTGTATGGCAGGTGATGCATAGCACTCATCATTAGTCAGGATCAGAAAGGTTCTTCACTGTACCCCTCCTGAGGAAGAGTATTATTGCTTTGTTACTTGCACGTGGCTTTGTTCAGTTCTGGTACAGATAGGTTACAATTTACTTGATATTTTTGGTACAGTAAGTTTAGTTGGCTAACACTGCATTGTCTGGATACAGTGGCAACTGTGAGGTTATGTTTATTTCCTTGCTATGGGGCAGACTGAGGAAAAAAATTAAGCTGAAGTGGTTTAGCCTTCATTAACACTATAGTTGACAGAGCCAGTTCTGACTTCCTACAGCTGCTTGGAGCAAGGGAGCATCATGGTATCCTTACTTTAAGTTCTATGCAGTAAACCTAAAGCCTTTTTTATCTGGTGGGTTTTTTAGTTTTGTTTGTTTTTCAGCTCCTGGCGGGGGCAGAGCTCTTTGGCCCCGTTAAGACTTGTTTTTTTAATTTCCAAAAATCTTTTTTCTTTAATTTTAATTATTTTCCCTTCTCAATAATTGCTGTGCCTCTTTCTTGTACTTTTTAAACCTTCAGCAGAAAAAAGATGAAAATGTTCCTAAGTGGTTTCTGTACATCTTGAAACTTGAGAGTAACCATCTTCTGTACTCCACTGCAGCTTTAGAAAGCAATTCATACCATCTATTTGTAGGTGCTGAAAATGCCAAATTGATTATGTACTTCCTATTGTTTGAAGTACACCTGGCAGTAAATGCTACACATTTTAGTAGACGCATTTGCATTATTTTGAGAAAGTTCCCTTCTTGTTCTGCTTGAACGAACTTTTCAGGCTGTGGCTATTTTATGCTTATTGCACTTAGAATTAGACTGTGTGAAGACTTTTTCATACTTAAAACTGTTACTCACGTGTTAATTTTGTGTATATGTTAATTGTCAAATTGCAGAAGTAGGGCTATAAGATTCTCCAGTGCTCAAAAAGAAAATTAGTTTCTTAAGGTAACAGAAAAAATAATATAGGTAAACAGATTGGCCAAAGATATTGTAAGTAGGCATATCTTTATAATGCATAACTAAGGACTTTGACAAATGCAGCCTTGTAAGACTCAAATGATAGTCATTTCAGTGCCATTTGAAGTGTGAAACTGAGTTATCTGTTGCACTATGCCATATTTAAAGAGCAATATTTTTTGTTTTAACAGTCTCAGCAAAACCTTTATTCTACTTCTGGATTATCTTAATGCACTCGAATGTTTGTGAAAAAGGTTTATTTAAGTATAGGGGCTTTAAGGCCAGCAGGCAATAAATGTGTTCAGAAATCAGTGTTACTGACAGCACTATTTCTGCTTTGTTGCATCTTCCCTAGAGCTTTTAGGATGAGAAAAAAAGATGACATGTAATAAATTGCACCATTTGAATTAATCGGTTTTGCCAGTGGATGCTTAATATATTACCATAAACTTTAAAACTTTTTGTATGTAGTTGTGTTTTAAAAGAAACATTTCTGAATAGTATGGAAAGCCTTTTCTCTTTCCCGCTTCTGTTACTATCTTTGGTATATCCAGAAAAGGTCATATGAATTTTGGTTAAAGTTCTGTGATTCATCTGTGGGCAGAAAATAAATGTGGAATGCTTCTACTGAAAAGGAGACTTACAATTCAGAGAGAAATGTTTCAAAGTACAAGGTTTTAAACATATTTATGACGGTTGTTGTTACATGGTCAAATGATCAGACAGCATTTTAAACAGTCATGTGGATTAATTTTTCCAGAGGGTTCTTGATGGATATGAATCAGTTTATTGCTTCAGAAAAATGACTGTGTTGTGTTGTTTTGGGTTTTTTAAAGATTAAAGCTTTTTTTTTTTTCTCTTGAATTTTTGAGAGGCTTTAGGAAAGTGGTTTTCGGTGTAAGGTATATGTGCAATAGCAAAGAAGCAAAGCAAGGTCCAGAATTTTAAAAGTTAGTCAGATGTAAACATTGCTGACACAAGTTCAGTTCTAGATGCAGCAAATCTAACTGCTGCTAAGTGACTTAGGGATAGTGATTCTCCAGGTTGAAATCTTAAACATCACAGGTACTAACGTGTTTTGAAAGACATCACACCACTAATAACACGGCTGTATGGAATCTGCAGAAAACAGGGGGGTTCAAGGACTGATTTTTGACAACAGGTCGTTTCCAATATTGAGTATCAGGTCTGTGGTATCCCTGTAGAATTTAGTACTGTGAGCTTTGCCAAGAGGACCTTTTAGAGCATTTTGAGATGCAGATCTGTAAAATATACTTAAATTTTTAGAATGCTGAGGGAAATATGCTGTATCTTAGATATGAAAGGTCTGTTTTAAACCTGGTTGTTGCAGCTGAAAAGGGTTTAGGTGACCTGATCTTTCAATATCTATTAATAGTTACAAAATAAGAAGTTGGCATGCTGCCTAACTACAGTTAGCAATACTATGTTAAGCACTGGTGAAATCATACCAAGGGTGATTTGTAAGCATAATATAACATGGCAAGACTTGAAAGCCTGCACCAGTTAAATTGAGGATCAGATCTGGTATTTGAAGGAAGAGGTCACACTAAGTTGTGATGTGGCCTTTGTTTTGCTTTAAAGCAGTTGGATTCATGTGATGCAGAGTTAAAATAACTTTTGGGTTTTAAATAACAAAAATAAAGATAATACACTTTGAACTTCAAAAAGAAATTGCAGAAGTTAAAGCAACTATGAAGTAGTTACATATGCTTGGTGCCCTGTTTCATTTTCAGTGTTTATCTGAATCATTAGGAATGTTGAATCAGTATGAAATTTGGACTCAATATAAGTTGCTACACTTGGCAATGTTTTTTCATTTACTAGTGGCTGACAGTATGACAGTTTTTTTTAATCTTTTCTGCAGTTAAGCACAGTAACTTCAGTCACAGCTTTTTATTAACAATAAACATGACTTTTAAAATTACTACATTTTTGCATAGGAAATAGATAGGCTAAGACATATGCCTTTGCTGTCAAAGGTGATGATAAAGGCTAATTTAATGACTGTCCAGACATTGAACTTTGGATGTTAAATACTGTATGCTAATTTTCTTTCCTTTATTCTATGAGGGAAAAATGGCAGACTAATGTAACACCTCTAGTCAAGTCTGTCTGGAAAGAGCAATAGGATGTCTTGCTAAGTCATGCTTTGTATTTAATTTCTGTTTTACTGTGACGTTCTACTTGTGAAGGAAGTGAGCTGTGAGGGATAGGTAGAAATTATAGAAATTTGATCAAAGTAGAAATTATTTTAAAATTTCATTTGTAGTGGAACCACTGCAAAGTTGTAAATTTGTTCATTTGATTAGATAATTTATGGCACATAACTGTGGCTGTTCTGAAAGTGGGTAACTTTCAGAAATTAACCTTTTGATCAGCAATGCATATGTTGAGTGGGATTGAGATGAAATCGGGAGACCTTTTTCCTTTTTCTTTTCTGTTTGGTAAATATAGAGTTGCAGTAGCTAATATGAGCAGCAATCCAATTGCACCAGCACCAATTCTGTCTCCTTTACTTAACCCTGCAAGCATTTTTTCAGTCAACAAATAGCTGCATTTCAGTAACAGCGTAATTTGAGCCTTGCCTAATCTGCTTTTTCCAAATTTATTATTCACGATTACTGTTTACACAGCCTAATGGACGGTCTTTCCTTGATGTGTCTGAAGATGAAGTGATACAGCCAGTCCGTAAAGAAAATGTAAAGCAGCCTCTGGACACAGAAAAGAAGAATGAGAAGGTGAGTTACGGGTATGGAATAATGATGATGATAAAGCTTAGTGCACGGTGTTTCAGTATCTAATAGTTCTGTTTGTTTTGAAATGCTGTTACTTATGTGAGTGAAGAAGCGTATTTCTTCCGATGAAGAGTAGTGATCTGATTTAGGTGTTGGAAAGAGCTAAAGTATGTTCTTAACTTCTGAGGTTGTGCTTTATCACAGACTGCTTGCATCAAGGGAACTCCCCTCCCCACCTCCCAGTAAACACTGATGTCTCTGTTTACCGTGTGAAAAATGTTAAGCCTACAGAAGTTAAGTTTGTCTTTTGTCTTTGTTGGCTTCTGTGAAGATGCAAGGAAATGATAGTATTGTTAAGTGGCTTGTCAATAGTCTTACAATTGGGGCACTATTATTCAAAGGATTAAGACCACTGCCTCCCTATGTCTTTTGTCAGATGTGTCCAGTAGTGATTAGAGTTCTTAATTTCTGTTGACAAATATGGGCTTTGAAGTCCGATGTGAGCTTTTTGTTATGCAAACGAACTTAGTCTGTAGCTCTATCTAAAAGATACCATTCTAATAGCAATGTTTTTTTTTTTTTTTTTTCACTGTGAGAACTACTATCTTCTAGCCTTATTGTAAATGCTTTCATCTGTAGGCAACATGGATGCATTTATGATAGGCCTTTGATTTTTTTTGGCTTGATTCTTTTGCTAACATTGTGCATCAGATTTCCTACCATCATGGATTTACAATTTATTTTCTTCCACAAAATACACTTGTTCTAACTGTACTGAGGAGTGTTCAAACAACAAATGACCATGTATAAACTGAAGTCAGTAGGTGATTATTGTAATTTGTTTAGCTTGTCCAAGCTTTAATTAACTTGCTTCATTATCCTATAACTTCTTTTACAGTTAATATCTTGGCTAAAAGACTATATCCTGTTAGATTTTTATAAGGCTCTAAACAGTTTTAGCCCTGGCATACAGAAGGACTTTTCTGTGAGATGGATTTGCCTTAATTCCATGCTGTGCATCTCTTTCTCGTCTGTGTGTTACATATCAGATGGACTTGTGGGGTTTTTTTTCAAGAACACAATAAAATCTGATCCTGAAGAAATTACGATTTTTCTTCTCAACTTTCACTTAACCTCAGGCAGGTTTCCAAGTAGATAAGGTGTTTGAATGCTAAACTTGAGCTTTATTTTAAAACTGCAAACATAGTGATCTGAATTTTAAAATGTTAAGTTGAAGATACAGCTCCAAGAATCAATACCATTATACAGATATGGATTCTTATTCAGCTAATTGTTTTCATATCATTTTGGGGACCCCTAGACAAAGCATGATTGCTTCAAGAGTTTATTGTTACCTTTCAGTTAAAAACACACCAAAGAACTTTCTTTAAACTTTACAGGTATCTAATTATTTGGTTGAGCCCCATAGAGCATCTGTTACATTTGTAACATTATCAACCTGCCAAGAAGGTTGTGCTGGGTCCTGTGCGTGTGTCTTGGTACATCTTGGTGTGGGTGGTAGAAGTCAATGAGTGGGATTTAAGTAGTATGTGCGTACATCCTAGATACATGATTATATGTAATCTGTGACCTGAAGGTATGATTTTTTTTTTGTTGTTGTTGTGCTTGAATATAAGTTTTCAGTGAAAAATCTCACTCCCTTTCTGGTTCCGAGTTTCTTAGCTGCTTCAGGGTTGTGAATTTCATGCATGTTTTTGCAGGATCATAATTTAAGTTGTATTCTCTTCTTGTTCCTTTGGGGCAGGGAAAGCTTTGGGTAACATCTGGACTTTGGCTATCATAGGGTTTATGGTTCTCTTGACACGGAATAGTTTCCTCCTATTCTATTGACTTGCACAGTACAGGAGGTTTTTTAGGTTTTAGCATAAGGGACTGTATCCAAGAAGTGACTCTATGGATGAGATTGCAGAGTGTTAAAACTTCATTGCCTGTTCTGTTTGCACATGAACAAGTGCCTTTGTCTTGAACACTAGAAGCAGACTATTGGCTTTGAGGAAGGAAGGTTTGTGTTTCTGTTGTTGCATGAGTGACAGGATATCTTAAAGACAGACTTTGAAGTAGCCTTGCTGAGTACCTGCTGTGCTCTGTAGCTGGTTGAAGAGGCAATACTGGCAGATTTCTGTGTTGCAGAAGGTGATACTTTGAATGGACAGACTTCTGCAAAATGCCTGGCTAGCTTGCCCAGTAGCCTTTAATGTCTCTTGCTGTTTTAGTCAGTTTGTTACTGAGATAGTGACTGTTACAGCACCAAGTTAGGCATGTGGTGAGTGACTTGGAGAACTCACCATGATTCTGGTTTCTCAGGTCAGATTCTAGTAACTCAGGTTAGGGAAGTAAGGATATTTTCAAGATTTGAATTTTGGGGTTTTTTTTTAGTTTGTTAGTGACAGACTTATTTTAAAAGCTGCTAAACTTTGGTTTCATGAGAAGTATAAAATTTAATGTCAGTCCCTCTGCAGGAGTTAGTTATTTAAGAAGCTGGGGTTATAATTTGGGAAAGCAGTCATCTTAAACTCCTGTCTGGGATGCTTCTGAAGTAATTTCGGGTGTTCTCTTAGAGCCAGAGAACAATTGGGTCATTACAGCTTTGTGGGTGGGAGGTGCCAAGACTTCAGTTCAGCTGAAAGTGGGAGCTATAGGCACAAACTTATTAACCTTTCCTCTGCTTGAGCTCCAAGAAGCAATTAGTAATCGTTTTTCGTGCTGTCTTTCACTTCCCTTTTTAATTGTTTCCTTAGATGGTGCTATGGCAAGTAATTGGGCTTGTTCATTTTCTTAGAACCATGATGACATGCAGCTCACGGGCTGTTGAGTTAGTATGCCCAAAAAGCATCACGCAGTCTCCATACAGGTACTGAAAGCAGTATGGCTTGTTACTGCAGCACCAGGGATAATTAAAATTTCACTGCCTATATGCAGTGCTGTGCCAAAATACCTATAATATTTGGGGAACTGACTTCAACGGTTAACTAGGGGTTTACTGCCCTAGAGGACAAGCCAGATTGTTTGCCAGAGCGCCTTCTATTCTGGCAGAAGCAGGTATTCTAGAAAGATATCTAGCGTTCTTGGAATATCCATATTTGAGTATTCCAGAGACAGTGAATCAGTGACTAGTTCCCCTTACAACATTTGAGTGGGTGACCGTCTTTCTTTAAAAAGTCTGTTGTGTTTGGCTTTTTTTTTTTTCATTCGGGTTTATCTGGTAGTTCTTACACCTTTCTTTACTAGATTGAAAAGCTTTTCAGTAACGTATTTTCTTTCTAAGAAGATAGTCAAGTCAATTTGTCATCACTTCAGCTTATCAAAAGATTAAACACCGAGGCTTTCTGCAGTATGCTTTCCTCCAGTATCTTTGGCCATTTTTCATCTTCTTTTCTCAGTAATATCTTTTCAACACTTTATATTGCTATCTATTGCTCCAAATCTGCTTGCAGAAGTTGTCATCTCTGTTCCTCTTTTATCTCTGCTTGTATATCCAAGAGGCCATAACTGTTAAAACCTTGGAATAAAACACTGTATGTCTATTGGAAAACATCTGCAAAGAGTTCATCCAAGCTGAAATTCTCCTACCCACTTTTTTTAAGGAGTCACTGGCATTACTTATTTCTCCATGTGTAACCTCACACTTGCTTCGGCACAAAACAAATTTTGCCAGAGTGGGATCTGGCTGCCACACAGTTCATTACTTGTCTGAGACTGTACACATAGCTTCTTCCACCTGGCTTTGTGCTCTGTAACATAAGCAATCATTCTTGTTTTCTTCCTGCCATTTGTGTACTGCATAAGTTTTCTGTGTTACTTCAGTGATCTTAATTTATGTTTAGCAGTTAGTATTGTTTAGTACTCCTTTGAAGGGACTGTCCATACAGAGGATTGTTCAGGAAAATCTGTTTTGCGCCTACTCCTGTGCTTCAGTGGGGGGGAATTCTGAATCACTGTGACAGGTGATCACTAAGTAATTATTAAGATAATGTTTTATTTTTGTTCTAGTCAAAGAAAAAAAAGAAATCAAAGGGAGATGCTAAAACGGTTCAGGATATGTCACGTCTAGATGGAAAGGAAGTTGATGAAGGTACTGAACACAAACACAAAAAAATGCAATTAGACGTATTTTGACTTAAATGCTGTTGAAAATTTACTTGTTTGTGCTTTGTAAAGAAACATGAGAAACTCAATTTGTCATTACTCCATAACTGCATATTGTATCTGGAAATCTGATCTTTGAAATAGCAGTATTTAATCATTTCAACTGAATTTTTTTGAAGTTAAAACTTATAAAAACTGAGAATAGTAGGACCCTCACATTGTTCATGTTTTGCTCTGCGAAGCAAAGTATTATCACATTACATCCAGAATAACTTAGCTTTGACCAATTTTTCATATTTTCAAACTAATGTTGAATCTGACCGCCATGCCTGTGATTTTTGAACTGAACCTGTACTTGGACTTCAGCTTGATATGCAACAAGATAAAACTCTCTTCCCTTTTTCCTTTATGACTTAAGTAGTGATGTTTTCATTTGGGGAATGTTTTAGGAACCTGGGAAACAAAAATCAGTAACAGAGAGAAGCGGCAACAGCGTAAGAGAGACAAGGTGCTGACCGACAGTGGCTCAGGAGAATCAAATCTCCAAGGGGTGGAAAATACACTTACACTATCCATTGAACAGCTGATGCCTACATCATCACTTCCAGTTGGTCTCAGAAAAAATAAAGGTATGATGGTCAGTAGGTCTGTGAACATATTCTAGAAAGATAACTTCACTTGAATGCTTAAAAAGTGACTGTTTTGGATGTATAATAGAATCATAGAATGATTTTTATTAGAAGAAACCTTTAAGATCATTTGAGTCCAACCATTAACCCAGCACTGACAGGTCACCACTAAACTGTGTCCCTAAACACTACATCTGTACATCTTTTAAACACCTCCACTTCCCTGGTCAGCCTGTTCCAAAGCTTGACAACCCTTCTTGTGAAGAAATGTTTTCCTAATATCCAACCTAAACCTCCCACAGTGCAATTTGATAAGTATATTTGGAGGTGTAACTCTTGAGGAGAAAATTTCAAACTGTGTAAAGGTACTTTTGTTTGTGGTAAACATCCTCCTTTGTTTTTTTGAGCCACACTTCAGGGGAAGCTGAGCTCTGACATTCTGGAGTAAGTGGCTGAAATACTGGCCTCCCCACTGGTGCTCTGTCAGTAGGTGCACAGCTGCATAGGCATATATCCTCTTTCCTTCACTTGTGCTCTGCTGCCTCTGCCCTTCATGTTTCTGGAAACATCAAGGGCACCCTCAGCACTGGTGCAGGCAGCACCAAATTTTTGAATACTTCCTTGTGGGAAGGTTATGCCTGTGCTTTCTCTTCACAGATCATTCACTGCTTAACATGTGGATGTTTTTTTCCAGCATAGACTTAGTAGTATCTGTACAAAAGCTGTTCACAATGGTAGGGCGCATATAGCTGAGATTATTAATCAACTATTATAGCTGAGGATTCAATAAAGAAATGTAGGCTTTAGCTTCTGTGGCTGCTACTGTTATCAGAAAAAAAGTTGTGGGCTGGTTTAAACCATGTGTAGGCACAGCAGTTCATATTTGGCTGCAACTGAGAAATGGCTTAAGAAGGTAGAATCATCTGAAGACACAAACAGTTCAGTTTCTGGCATACTTTTAGCCTACTGATATATTTGGCACTTTAGTTGGGTGAATCTTGATATTCTAGCCAAGTGACAAAAAGACTGAGCCTAGCAACTGTCTGGTACCTTGTAACAATTTACTGCAATTTGCATGCCTTACCTACTGTTTTTTCTGACACTTGTTTGCATCCTGACTGAGTGCATGATACTTGTCGTTGAGGACTAGCTCAGTTCTTCCACATTTTCTTTTTTTCTGTCTATCTACACACAAACAGAAATGCTTCAAGAAATGGTTATTCCAACTGTCTGTATACTCTGTGGCTAACCATAACTACATTCACCTCCCTAGCCGGAGTCCTTTGTGTGTCATGTGTTCTCATGTGTCACTTTGTACCAGACTAATCTGAAAAGAGTTCAGTTCTATCTAGTGGTAAAGCAGAAGTTAGAAATAGCTATAGCTTTCTGAAATACTTAGAGTTGCCCTTTATTTGAAAATGACTGCCTCTGTTCTAGATTTCTGCTCACCATTCTTGGGAAACCTGGCTAGAGTTCTTTGAAATTTGCTCTTACTTGGTTTATAGGCCCTAAACCAGTTTTGAGTTTATTCTGTCTGCAAAATAAACACAAATAATAAAAAAAGACTTTTTCATTTTATTCAGGGAATATTTTATTTTGAGGTATTGATGTGGGTTTTTTCCATAAAATGTCAGCAATGGGTATTCTTTTAGAAGATTTTTACAGATGTTACTAATAGAAAAAACTTACTCTAGCTGTTTCCTCTTACTTCTTAACCAGGCGATGCACTTCTGAATGCACAAGTTAGCACCTCTAAACCTGCAAAGGGAGAGTCATCAATTCCACAAGGTAAAAGGCTTTTCATCATTAGGCATCCTAATTAACTAGAAGAATCTTTAATGGAAGTGAAAATACAAATTGTCAGCGCAGGATTGTGTGGTTGCTGGTCTGGAACTTTATTATGCAGCTGACATTTTTCACTATGCAGATGTTATGCTTCTAAGTTGCAGTTACTATTTAACAGGTTGAAAACAGCCTCTATAACTTGTAGGAAAAGGATTCAGTATCTGGAATTTTCAGACCGATTACCTGTTACACAAATTGTTAGTTACAAAATGGTAAAGTTTATTCTCAAGCTCCATTAACTGTTTTGCTAGCTTTTCAGACTTACTCACTTTTTTCTGGTATTATCTTGCTAAGAAAAACTTAATATATACAACTGCAAAGAGCTCCAAAATACCAGTACTGATTATGGCAGAGTTTGCACTTGTTTCACATTATATACACAAGTTACTCAATTCTTTACTTACTCCTTTGAGAGGCATACTTTAAACAGATTCATTTGGAAAGTACTTAAATATAAATGTATGTTTATAAATAAATATACATGACATTCTATGTCATATGTAATCATTAAAATATTTGGCTGGTTTTAGGCTGTGATCTAGTAATCCTTAGCAGTTTTCTTCCAGAAGATGCTGCTATAGTAATATTGCAATGTAAGTGAACTAGTTTGGCATAATGAAATCAAGTTGTCTTACACTTAGCCAACATTTCTGGTGTTGCTTTATCAAGAAGTAGTTAGTGTAATTAAGCAAGGCGATGAACAAGCTATTGATAGCATGTGGATTCAGGAATTTAATTACTTTCTGCTAGTTTGACAACTTTACCTCACATGCAACTTCCTGGACCAGGAAGTCCACAGAAGTGTGTAAGGAAGGAACTGTGTTCTTCAGAGATGCATAATGGGAGAACAGGAGGCAATAATCAAGTTTCAGTAAGGGAAATTCTGACTGGCCATGAGGAAAAATGCTTTTTGTAAGTTTGCCCAGAGATATTTTGAACCCAGCCTTTATGATTTCCAGAACTTGAATAATGTGATATAATTGTGAAGTTAGCTGTGCTTTGAGCAGTAGGTGGAACTGGGTGACTTCCAGAGATCACTTCCAATCTTAAGCTTTCTGTGATTCTGTGAAAACTTGCTGGTCATATAGACAGTAAATGTTTGTGACTCAAGAATGGTATGATAAACACAAAATGGTTAAGCTTCTGCTTCAGGACTTCGGCTGTCTTTTTGCAAGGTTGCAAAAGTTTTTGTACCAGATACAGTTTGGTTTCTGGCTCTTTGCTATTTTTGTTGTTGTCTTCCCCTAAAACCTCCTATTACTCTTGGGGGCTGGTGACTGACAGGATCAGTGTTAGTGAGAGAAAGGGCAGTGTTTTTACAGCAATGGTGACCTTACAGATGTCTATTTGGAAGTGATTACTCTGAGAAAATCTAGAATATCTCACCTAATTAATTCCCTGCCAGTGAGGCTGCCTGAGCTGTGAGTTTGTTTGAGGAATAAAGTATTTGATCTGTAGGTTTTGTTGGCATATGATATTGGCTGACTTATGCATCAGATTTTGGCTGACTACTTAAATGTTATACTTGCCATATGTAGCTATTTCTTAATTGTTTGTAAATCAGCAGGTTTTTTTACACTGCATATATAAAAAGAGAGAGGACTTGATAAACAGAGCCCTTTGAGAAAGGTTTGTGATATATAGGAACTCAGGCTGAGTGCACCAGGTCACCATTAGCCTTTGTTTTATAGGGACATAAGTATTAAAAAAAAAAAAAAAAAATCATGATGGTCCTTTATGTCTCAGTGTACTACTGAGTCCTCTCAAAGTATACATTAAACTTGCTATGGCTAGTTATTTCTCATCAGGGTAGACTGTTGTAGTCTTGTGGTCTTTTACAATAGTGTAAAGTCAAATATATTGCTTATAAACTATTTTGGGAGTGTTACCATGACTTTTTCTCTAACCTTGATGGAGACTCTGGTCAATATCATAGTTAAGCTTTTTGTAAATCCAGTGTAGTGTCTGGGAAACATTTTCTAATCCTCAGACATTTCTTCTGCTTCCTGCGTGGGAAACTGCTGCATGCAGTTGTGAAACAGAAAGTATTGTCAATGTAGCATGCATGGGATTTTCCACAGATAACCACTGTACTCTGTGAGAGAAATTACGTAGCAGTGTTGGAAGCACCCCCGCCCCCTTGGTTTGGGTTTGGTTTTAATCTGGAGGCACTGGTTCACCAGCCCTGTAAAGGGGGCGCAGGAAGGAGCGTGCCGTTTGGTGCTGTTTATTCCTTACTCTTCAAGTTAGTAGACAGATGGTGCATATCTTCTGAACTGGAAAATCAGCTCAGACAGAGCAACGGCTCTTCTGTATTCACACTGGTTGTAGCAAAGATGCTGTTCAGTTTTACTTTCTTTAAGTGTATGTGCACCTAAGTAATATTTTAATTCTTCATCCCATTTTTATCTTAAATAATGCTTTCATTGTTTGTATTTAAGTTTCTCCAGGATTGAGTGAAAGCCATACAGTAAATGGAGGAAGCTGGAATGAGAAGTCGGTAAAAATCTCCCCCCAGATTGGTGTAGGGGAGGAGAAATGGACATCTGTTCCTTCAGCTGCCGCGGGGAAGAGGAAGACTGAGGCATCAGCTTGGGGCCAGGACGCTGGCGACACTAATGGAAACGGGAAGGACTGGGGTGTAACCCTGGTGGGCAGGCCCTGGAAAGAGCGTTCTTTATTCACTCCTATTGGTAAGCTTTTGCAAAGAAAACTTGCTTCACTTAAGCATCTTTACATAAGTATATTTTTTTAGTAGTGAGTCTCTTAAATAGCTTTGTTTGTATGTTAAAAAAAATCTTGTAGTGGTCTAGTGAAATATGAACTGAGCAGTTTGTTTACTGTACATTTTGATGGCTTAACATCTGTGGTTTTGTTTACGGTTTAACTGGGGTTTTGGAGTTATCTGAAATAAAATTATTTCTATGAAGAAATCAAATTTTTTGTATCACTTTCCTAAAAATCTGAAAGTTATTCTGAAGTAATTTTGAAGTGCAGCTTTTTTTTTAAATAATATCTTAAAACCCAGGTCCTAAGCAGTAAGTAGTAGTCATAGTAGATTTGGATTAGACATTAGGAAGAATTTCTTTACTATGAGAGTGCTGAAGCACTGGAACAGGCTGACCAGAGAGGTGGTGGAGGCCCCATCCCTGGAGATGTTCAAGGTCAGGCTTGATGGGGCTCTGAGCAGCCTGAACTAGTTGAAGATGTCCCTGTTTACTGGTTGGGGTTGGACTAGATGACCTTTAAAGCACAGCATTCTATGGCAAGTCTATTCTGTTGTTTGTTTTAGGCTCCAGGCATAAAGATGGTTCAACTCTTGTAACGTTTAGAGTTACACGTGTTTTCTCATTAGAAATTGTTTTTAGTCCTCTCCAGTACAATTTTTTGCCTTTATCACTGATACAGTCCATACTAATAGCGGATAAGAGAATTCTTCATTTCTCTCTGAGCAACAATCTTCAACTTATTAATAGATGCTTTGATATGATCCTTCCAACTGTTCAGTCTAAGTGATCCTAATCTCTTCCGGAGAGCAATGTTCCTTTGTAGTCAGCAGCGTTGCTTTAGCCTAGACCTCTTGTTTGTCTTGCGTATCTTGAACTGTGGTTCCTGAGACCTATACCATTGGAAGCTTTACTGTCACCAAGGAGAGGCAAAGGGCTCTTTTTCTATTTCAGTTAGCTGTGTTCTGCTCTGTATTCCAATATGGTAGTTCTCAGTGAATATGAGCAATCTGTTTTTGTTGTTGTTGTCACCAAGAATACCTCATGCTTGACCAGACCAATTTGCTTCTGGTAAAATGACTGGTTTTGTGGGTGAGGAGAGAGCAGTGGACACCTTCTATGATGACTTTAGTAACGCTTTCAGCACTGTTCCTCACAGCATTATTGTATCCAAGTTGGGATGGTTGATTAGTGAGTTGTACTCTGCCTGGAGGCTGGTGGCAAGGGGGATATTGCTGGGCTCTGCACTTACTGCTGTCCTGTTTATCATCTTCATAAATGACCTGGAGGTCCAAGTGTCCTTCACAGCAAATTCCCAGGTTACATCAGACTTGAGTGGGGAGGAGGGAAAGCAACTGATACAGTCCAGATCAGGGTGCTGTCCAGAGGGACCTAAACAAGCTGGAGAAGTGGGACCAACAGGAACCTGAGAAAGTTCAACAGTGGCAAATACGAAGTGCTGCATCTGGGTAGGGAGCACCCCTGTCTGGGGACTGTTTGGAGAGCAGCTCTGGGGATAAGGCATTCTGGGGGACACCAAGCTAGATGTGAGCCATCCATAGGCCCCAGTAGCAAGTGACATCAACAGTATTCTGGACTATATTAACAGGTGTCAATAGATTTGGGATAGTGATTGTCTGCTTTGCACAACATCTGGAATACTCTGTCCAGTTTTGAGCGCCTGCCCTGCAATTAAGTGTAATTCTAAATAAAAGCCACTAGTAGTTTTTATTTAGAATCCTATTCTAATCAGATATTTCTTTTGACACGCTAATGCTACTGATTATTTCTACTTATTTTCTACCTTATACTTAATGGTGAAATGTCTTAATTTCTAAGCATTTAGTTTCTGTTTGTCAAAAGTTGTTCTGAACTCAGTTCTGTTCTTTAACTTACACACAATTTGATGCAAACTAGGTTCTATCTACAGAGTTAATAAATACAATTTTCAGTAGCTTAGGTGATGGCAGTACTGGGAAGAAGAGTAACAGTATGGGAGTCCAACCACAATTTTCCTTTGTGAGACATATATACAAAAGGCTGTAGAGGAAAGAAGATCCAGCAATGTGATGTTGTGTTTGGTGGTTTTACTTTTATTTTTTTGTCTCCCACAGCTGCTTGGAATGTAGATGCAAGGATTAATACCTCTGAACAGAATTCTACTTCTTTCTCTTCATTTGGTTTAACTCCTGGAGTTTCTGGTATGTATGCCCTTCCCAAAGATTTACACACACACACACACACACACACACACACACACACACACACACACACACTCTCTTCTACTCCACCAGGTGGAAACTGAATTTGCAAAATGTCATTAATGTGGATCTTTCTCCTTGTTCTTTGAAAATAATACTGGTAACTGGAAACAGGTAGAAGACATGTTTTATGAAAGCCTAGGAAGCTTTTTTTGTTATGCTGAAATTGTGGTAAAGTAACTGTCTGAAATGGATGGTCAAAAGCTAGGTCAATAAGAGTGTGACGTTTCTTATTTAGCCATCCTGTTTGTTGAGGCTAAATAATGACCAATAGAGATTGCTCAGTGTTGCTGTGCCTCTAGTTGGAGACTGGAAGATTGCTTTCCAGGAAAGTCTCTACCCTGATCTTCTGAGAGGTTTGTTATTTGATTGATGGTTGAGTTTTTCCCTTTCAAGGAACTGACGCACTGCTTTCAAAATATGTTCCATAGACAGCGTTTGTCTTGAGTCTTGTTTGATGGGTAGGAAAGCTGGGCTCTGAAGCCTTCTTGTTTGTAAGGGTGAAATTGCTATAGGGTGCAAACCTGACTTCATAACAAATCTTGTGCATTAAACCACTGACATAGGTGCTACAGTGATTTATTACACAAAGGGATCCTGTGTCAGGTTTTCTGCTCTTGCTTGCGTACTACAGTCACCTAACAAGCTTGATGTGACTATTTTCTCTTAGGAAGGAGCTGACCTAAGTAGCTATGGTACCCTATTTAAACCTCATGTCAAAAGTGAGTTTCATTATAAAGTAATATATTAATTTCCTTCAGTCTTACAGTTAAGATTTTTTTTTAGGTTTATTTTTTTATATAATGATTTGTTTGCTGATGCCTTATTTATCTTAAAATAATGACGTTAGCTGGCTAACACTTTCTGTCACCATGGCTGATACTGGCTTTGCCGTTATTTGTCATGCTGCTTTTATGTTTCTGAAACCTTTTACTTGAAATGAGAATTGGATTTTTAGTAATGAGTAATATAATTGCTGTATCTGTTATGTAAGTGATGAGGTTTCTTTCTAGTAGTCTTTTAAGCTTCTCCCTGTCAGAGTTCTATTTATAAAGGATAATAATTTTACTACTCAGAAAACTTCATTGTAGTTTTCAGTTTGAGGAGACTGCTGTAAGCTGTATAGATGCTGTTATTCAACCTTATCTCTTTTTTTTTCCATATTCTTCTCCTGACTTAATTTTGTCTTCCTTCTTCAGTACCCTAGTTTTCTGAATATATCCCATTTTCAAGAGCCTTGTAGTTTTTCTATCCTGTGCAGTCCTTAAAATTGGACTTTTTTTTTTTTTCCCTTTGGGTCTTCTAACTTCCTTTCCTACTTTGACTGGAATTTCTTCACCCAAGAAAATTCAGGAAGCTTTTTAACTTATAGGTACAATTTTATTTATTCCCTTTCAGGATCCAACAGTGAGTCAGTTCCTCAGACTGGTACTTCTGATTTCCAGTGGGATTTAAGTCATGCTCAACCCCCTGTTGATGACGAATGGTCTGGGTTAAGTATGTTCCTCTAAAATTTTCATTAACAAGATTTTGTTAATTACTGTTACTTTTGAAGTGTAGTTGCTTATATTAGCTGCTTGAATAAGCCAGTGGTAAGCATTTGAAGATAAACTTGGAAAGTTTCACTTCTGTAAAGCTAAGTGACAGTTGGAAGAAAGCAGGAAGAAGTATTTTGAGAAATGATGATAGAAAACGGTTAATTTCTAGAAAAAAATACTTGGATATTGAATCTTGAAGTCAGAGATCTCATGCATTTTAAGGTGGTTCTGGCTTTTGCTAGAAAATCCTGGTAGTAAATTAAAACAGTCTTACTGCAAGTAATGGGATAAAGCTACTGCAAGTCTGCAAAAGATGTATTTAGCAGTTTGTATTTGAGTCACAGAGTTTATTTTTACATTTGTGTACCCTACTGAAAACTAAATGTGACTTAAGACTGTCCTATTTTGTCTAACTTACTTTCTCATCTGGAAAACATTAGGAAGTTCTTACATGTATAGAAAGTATATGCAGGGCAGAAATCACTGAAATTACTTGGGAATTCAGTAAAATTGGTGTTTACTCTCCTCTTTCCCCTTTCTGCCCATTTTTAAATATTCTTGTAATTCCTGCAATGGTCTCTCCCTAAGGCAGGCTGTAGTATAATAAAGTTACAGCCACTGAAAAATGTTTGCTATTGAAACTGTACCTGTGAAGAAAGCTTTCAGCCTTAGATTCACTTTTTGAACTGCCTTGTAATTGATAGCTTTATTCAGTCAGATCTAAGAATGTTTTAAGAAATAACTTAGCCCCACTCATTAGGTCACTGACCTGAAAAACTAGTCAAGAAGTTGACCAGAAAACAATGTCTCCTATGTTCTCTCTAAGAACAGCTAGTTGTTTAATCACTGCAAAAGTGGAGTGGACTGATGCAGTCCTTGGTTCCAGCAGTTCTGGCATGATTTGTCTTATACCAGATCATTTTGCAGTCTATCTTTTGTCTTTTATCTGGTTTAAGGATAAGGGAAGCACACTTAAGTTAATCACTTGAAAGTAATAACTTTTGCACATTACCAAAAGCATAATTTATTCATATTTCTAAGCATAGAACATTTATGGCTCTAGCTTCTGTACATTGAGTAATTTGATTATAGATGTCAACTGATTTTGAAGTGTACACTAACAGAAGTGGAGAAACAATGGGAGTTTAGGCCAGTGTGATAGCAGTAAGGTGTATTTGTTGGTTTCTGGACAAGGAACTTAACTGTGTGTACAAATACTGCTGATTGATTTTTATGGTTAATAAAAAATAATGGATTTTTTTCTTTAAGCTGCTAGTGAGATGGCAGTAGATAAACTGTGAAGTGCTGTTGGGCAGTAATTTTTTTAAAATCAGTGTTCTAGTGTCTACAGTAAGTGTAATTGAAGTAAAATTTTTATATGAAAGCAAAAGGTGGAAAAATATTACAAAGTACTCTTTAGCTATCTTAGTGTATTTTTGGTTTCATCATATTTGCAAGTAAATTTAATTTGGTTTATTACTGCTTTTCATTTTCACTTAACTTTAAAATGTTTAAACTGTATCCTGCTCTAATTGACACAACAGGTTTTCCTCTTCTCCTTCAATTTGGCATAGACAGAGGGTGGGAAATACTTGTGATGTTACTTATAAATGTGAAATGAAAAGTGATCTTTTACGAGGTGTTCTAGTTTAAAATCAGCTTACTGTACCTTTCTATTAGGCAGTCCAAGTCTTAGTTCTTCCCTTCAGGTATTTTCAGTTTTTATTGAACTGACCCTTTAAATCTGTTGTTCCTGTGTGGCAACATAAATGTTTGCCATCAGAAATGAAGGATAGCAAAATGGAGTAGGACTCAAAGACTTAGAGTCTTGGAAGAAGGAAGGTCATTCAAAAATGCCAGTGTTACAAGATGACTTTCTGCTCAGTGAGATTTACACTTTCAGCTATATCACTTGTAAAGGATTCTTACAAGGTAAAACTGATCGGTGGTACAGTTCTTAATTTTTTCACAGACTAGGAAGAAGGTTTAAGATACAGAACAACTCTTAAATTTAAACTCTCTCTTAAGTAATGAGTCTTACTCATTACTTAAGTCTTCCTTCTATCATTAACATTTACTTTTTTCATAAGTACAGGAAATGAATATTTATATATTGATATCAACATGGGGGTTATGCACAGATTTTAAAAAAAATTAAACTGTCAAAGATCACCTGTAAAGTAAGGAGACATTCCTGAAGATCTTTTTGATCTTTGTAGACGGACTTTCTTCTACTGATCCCAGCTCTGATTGGAATGCACCAGCAGAGGAGTGGGGAAACTGGGTAGATGAAGAAAAAGTTGCTGCTTCTGTTCCTCAGCCTGACGAAGTACCTGATGTTCAGAAGGTAAAAGGTGATATTTTCTCCTTAGCTCCAAGACTTTGCCCTCGGCACTACTGTTTCTTTAATTAACTTAAGGGTAATGATAAAGGCAGTCTCTCTCTCTTCTACATTGATAAGAGTAGCACAGTTGTTTTTAATAGGTACACAGAGAAGCAAAATGCTGAATGTTCTAATTGAGAAATAGAAGCCACTTAGCTCCATGTCATATCTTCCTGTCTTACCATAATATAAGGATTACCTTATCCTTGTGGACTAAGAGAGGATTTAGAACTGCTTTTCATAAATACTTCTCAGGGACACCTCTGGTATGAGGACAGGCTGAGAGAGCTGTGGTTGTTCAGCCTGGAGAAGAGAAGGCTCCAGGGAGACCTTAATAGTGGCCTTCCAGCATCTGAAGGGGGCCTACAAGAAGGCTGAGGAGAGACTTTTTATAAGGGCTTATATTGATAGGATATGGAGTAATGGGTTCAAACTGGAAGAGGGCAGATTTAGATTAGAAATTAGGAAGAAGTTTTTTACTATGGGAGTAGTGAGACTAGAACAGGTTGCCTAGGGAAGTTGTAGATCACAGAATCACAGAATGTTAGGGGCTGGAAGGGACCTCCAGAGATCGAGTCCAACCCCCCTGCCAGAGCAGGGCCATCTAGTCTAGGGCAGGTCACACAGGAACGCATCCAGACGGGTCTTAAAAGTCTCCAAGGTAGGAGACTCCACAACCTCCCTGGGGAGCCTGTTCCAGTGCTCTGGAACCCTAACAGTAAAGAAGTTCTTCCTCATGTTGAGGTGGAACATCCTGTGCTCCAGCTTGTGACCATTGCCCCGTGTCCTGTCGCAGGGAATAAGTGAGAAGAGATTGCCCTTTCCTTCCTGACACCCAGCCTGCATATGTTTATACACATTAATTAGATCCCCCCTAAGTCTTCTCTTCTCCAGACTGAGAAGCCCCAGGTCTCTGAGCCTCTCCTCATAAGGCTGGTGTTCCAGTCCCTCAATCATCCTCGTAGCCCTTCGCTGGACTCTCTCAAGTAGATCTCTGTCCCTCTGGAAATGGGGGGCCCAGAACTGGACATAATACTCCAGGTGAGGTCTCACCAGGGCAGAGTAGAGGGGGAGCAGGACCTCCCTTGTTCTGCTGCATACACTTTTCTTCAGTACCAGGTTGGATGGGGATTTGAGCAACCTTGTCTAGTGGGAGGTGTCCCTGCCCATGGGAGGGGGATGGGAACTAAAGGATCTTTAAGGTCCCTTCCAATCCAAGCCATTCCATGATTCTGTGATATTTAGTTCTCTGTATGAGAACAAGCATTTCATGCCACTGGTACATGGTGCTTTGTTGCCTTTTTCATTCTCAACTCCCATACCTCTATTACCAGATAGCACGTAAAGAATGTAGTCTTCTTAAATGAACTGAACAGATAAGATTGTGTTCATCTCTACTTTTATATGCAGTTAAATTCCTTATAGCTGTTGATCTGTTCAGTCTATAGAAGGCATGTTTAATTGACATTTTAAACGCTAAATACCTTGTATTCCTGTATGAAGGTTTCAGATAATGAAAGAGAAAAAGCAGAGCCAATTCTTCAGAGTTCTACAAGTGGCAAATCCAAGAAAAAGAAGAAGAAAAAGAAGAAGCAAGGTGAAGAAGCTAACTCTCCTGCACAGGTAAATGGAACAAAATGTAGGTAGTCTGAAAGGCAATTGTGAGGCATTCACAAAATCGCCTTGTTTTTGTATATTAGTGTCAAGCAAAAAATTATTTTGGAGAAATTAATTTCTTTATGGTACTGATTGTCTGCTGCTGTCTTTCAAGAGTTAAAGTAATCCTTCTCTCACTAGTGTTTCCTTTAATTTGAATTCTTCTGTTTGACTTGTGAATACAATGTAGTTTTGCAGGATTTTTGGAAAGCATGAAATATGTGAAAAGTATCCTGAGTTACTTATTTTCTGTCAAATCAAGATTCTATACTGCAGGGATACTTCCTAGAGGAACTTGACTCTGCATGGGAAGCCTACACCTTCTGTCCTTTGGAAGACAGCTGCCTTAGTGGATGTTAACTAGGTAGAAGAACCAGAGAAATTGAAGTTTTCTTAGTTGATCTTAAAGTATAGTTCTGTGAGAACATATACAAGTACTGTTGTGGCTTGATTTCTATCAAGTGGTACGTATCAATGCCTCAAACTCAGTAGGTGGAGCTACTCTGAGCCAATTTTGAAAGCTGGTATTTGCAAACTGAAGGATGGTTGGAGTTTTCTGTGTGACTTAAATAGCTTTTGAAGAGAGTTACATTGAAACAGATTTGTTGTAAAAAATAGCAAAAGCAGATTGCACTTCATTTGGCAGTTAAATCATGCTTGAATAGATGAAAACAAGTACGTTCCTAATAGGAAAAAGCTTTTAATAGCTCATGCTCAGAATACATTCTGCTTCTGCTTTTAGTGACAGCCATTCATAACTTATATTCTTTACAAAATCTTAAATGCTTAGTTGAACCTGACTGAATTGGAGAGAAGGAGGAAGCATTACTTCAGTTGTTCTTGCTTTGGATTTGCTCTTTATGATTATCACATTTTCAATCTGAGATGTTAAACAATTTTAAAAGTTTAAATTCCTATAACAGAATTCTTTTAAAGTTGTCTGTGTGGGAGTGGATGCTCAAGTCAATTTGCCTTGTTTCTTTTGAGATAAATTCAAACAGGATACCAGGAGTGCAGCTTTTTTGTAATTGAAGTCTGGCATGTTCTGGTATCTGCAGCGACTCTTAAGTGTAAATCAGGGTGAATAGGACATGGTTAACAGATGTTTGTGAATGTCTTGAGTAGATCTTAAAGTCAGTGAGTGAGTTCTGTAATTATTTCTTTTCCATTGCCTGTGAACTGCCTTTTAAGTTGTATGTAAAAATGGAATCCTACTGTCCATTTTAGCATAATTGGATTCATTTATTCTACCATTTGGTCTCCAACTACTCTAATTTTGTTATGTTAGACTGATGGATTGCAAACCTAAGTTTAAAGATGAAAATTTCTCTGTTAAATTTTTGTTGAAAACAGGAAAGTGTTGCTGGGTAGGGGATGGAACTGCTAATAAATCACAGATAAGTTGTCCTTGTTACATCGGCTTAGTGATGGAACTTGCCACTTGTACTTCAAACTCACTTAAGAGTGTATGTTTATTCCCTGAAAACTGACCATGTTCCTGTAAACAGCTTCATCTTTCTCATTGATTACTTCAGCTTTCACACTCTTTGTTAACTTGGTAGTTGTCAAGGCAGCAGAAGTTTCCTTCAGAGCTAGGTGTAAGGCAATATTCTTTCTTGTCAGGAACCAACAGACTTAGGTTGTTTGTGACTGTTTTCACAAGGCTTCAGGGGAAAAATGTGAAGGAACAGTGTTTCAAGAGATACTTTCAGCTTAAAGCCTACAACCTATTCTTTATTTACTGTTCACCACAGCAGGGTTCTTCTGTTGCTATGAACAAATTTAAAATGAAATCTTTCCACCATTAGAGTATTTAAAGAGTAAAGGTTGAGACTCTGGGATACTTTGAATATATTTTCATTTTCTGTATTGAGAGGTTTGTTTTACAGGCATCATGGAAGGCTAAACTGGCTTGCAAAAATATTAAAGCTTAATATATGGTGGAAAATTGTACAGGTTAATGTGCAGAGCTTGCATCACTCTAAACCTTGACAGCATTTTACAAGTTTTACTTGTAACAAAGCACAGAATTGAGAGCAGTCAAGTCTCATTGTGATACTTCTGCACAGATTTTAGAGTAACTTCAGTTCAGTTTCACATCAGTGTAGTTTCACGGGAGTATGAAGTGCAGTCACTCAGGTTGGGATTTTTCTTAGTAAATTGAATGGAGAGTGCTGCTTTCTGGGCTTTACTGGCTTCTGTGGGTATTTCTGTATGATGTCCTATAAATTTTGAGCATTAGCATAGGCTAGTAATTAGTCCACTAGTTCAATTTTTTTAGAGAGATGTTATTAGTTATAGAAGCTGATTATAGCAACAAAACTGATGTGCAGGGAAGAATAGTCAGAACTTTGCTGCAAACACAGGCTCTTTGTGTTTTTCCTTCCCAATCCCTCCTTTTGTAGGACACTGAAGAACTGGATAGAGAAGCTGGAGAGGAATTTCAGCAGGATACCTCAAAAGTTCAACCACAGCAGGAAATAGCTTTTTCTCTGAAGACCATAAGTACTAGTGAACCAGCTAAGGTAGGGATGCAAAATTGGGATTATGTTACAGTTTCTGATTGAGCACTTCCAAAAGTCCATTGCCATATTTAATCTGTGTAGGTTAGGTTACAGTGAGAATACTGCTTCAGGCCACATATTTATGAACAGGAGGATTATTGATAGGTTAGATTTTAGCTACAAGGCAGTTACAAGTTCTGAAAAGAATGTCTGCTCTGAAAAGCAGTATCTTCTAAATCAATAGACTTCCATGACTCTCAAGTCACTTTTTGACTGAATATTCCAGCACAAGACTTGCAGCGTAGTTTACGGTTTTATTGCAATAGAATGAAGTGTCACTAACTTACTTAAATATATATTAAATTAAGTGCAGTCTAATTTTTTTAATGACTGTGATAAGCTTAATGTTAATGACTAAATAAGAAAAGTTTATATTTTAATCAATTCAGAAACTGCTTCAGCTCAGCTCACAGTGGAAACAGATACTCTAGGCAGTGCAAGTGCTCTTTAATCTTTCTCGAGATAGCAGCTGTTTGTCACATTGTAGGAAGAAGTGAAGTATGTGATATTTCTGTTGGTATTGGTTTTATGTTCCATAAAGAGTGAACAATACTGGTGAGAAAGCAGTTTGGTACCACAGAGTATCTGTCCGAATATTGTTTTACTTCTTAGTTGCTAAGCATTTGGTTTATTAAAGGTAACTGTCTTAAGATGCAACTATAATATTAGAGTGGAATCCTTTATCAGAGGCTGCAAGTCACCAAAGTACAGAAACTGAGAACATGTGCCTTAAAAGGCACATTCAGATAAACTCCTAGCTTATTCTAAATATCCTACAAAGTAGAGCTTTTACTGTAATTATTCAGTTTAGGTTCAGTTCAACCTTTCTTCAAGGTTAACAGCAGCTACCTCTTCAACCTACCTAATACAAAGTTGGGTTTTGTGGGTTTTTTAAAGCTGTATCTGAAAAAAGGCATCTGCCTGTTTGTGTAAGTGGCGTTTTTCCTGGCAATGTGCATTTTAAAAAAAAAGGAAAAAACAACTTAAAAGCAAATACATTGTTTTGCTTTGGAGGCCATAGTTGAAAATGTATAGACAGAGAACTCATATTTGGATTGTGACATCAAGGTGCGTTTCTTTGACATCTAGAAAGAGTTGGACTGGTGCATCCCAAAAAACTGGCTGCTTTTTGGAAAATCTAAATCTGCTGTTTGGAAATCTAAACTGGTTTGAGAAATTCTTTTTCAGCTGCATGTCATGATTCTCTTGAGCCACATTTAGAAACTTTTTTTTTTTTTCACAAGGTGGTGACAGTGCTAAAACATCAGCCCAGTTCCAGTAGACTTTGCTCAATTGTTTAGTGTTTAAAACCACAGCAAACTTCATTGGCTGATTTGATAGCATCAGCTCTGATACAGGCCTACACTGTGCATTATTCTAGGGGGGCTTGAGGGCTTCTATTATTCCCAAGTTTCAAATATAATCTGTTCGTATGTGCCTACATATGGCTGTGCTTGTCAGTGACAAATTCATGAAACAAGACAGCCTGTATTAAACTTGGTGTGGGGACAAAGGACAAACAAAACTATTGCTAACAACATTCTCTGGAAGTTAGTTGGACATGAAGGACAGTTTGTGAATTGTTGTATCTCACAATGCAGGTGGTCTATCAGTCTTTATCAAGTCTCTTTGACATGAGATATGGCTTCCTTGTAATTTCACATATGCAAAGATGCCCTCTGATAATGTTTGATTTGGCTGTGCCAAGAAGTTTTAGAAACAGCTCGTAACTGATGTGTGAAATGGATGACTTAAGTTTACACAGTAAGTAATTTAGTCTTGAGCAAATGCTCCAAAACATGAGAACCAAATACGAGGAAAAATGAAGTGAGTACAAATAAATTATTATACAGAATATCCTCCTAAAGAACAGAAGCAGATGAACGTTCAACATTTCTGGGTTGTTTGATTATATCTTTCTCGTACCTTGGGCTGCAGGAAAACCTTTGGCATTTTATCAACAGGCAGAGGTTTTAAATGGAGCAATGCCTGTGGGAGTCTTTCATTTGTAACAGCTTCACAGTTCACTACTTCATTAATAAATTGTAGAATTATGCATATACCTTTATCATCAAATAGGCTTTATTCATTGTTTCAGGTATCCTTTCTGAACTGATTTCTTAAGGCAGAATATCCTAGCAAAGAGCAGTACCCAATTCTCAATGCTTGGCATCACTATCTACTTGTCCTTATCCAAAATGTAGACGGCATTGTGGTATTTGGGAAACCACCCAGCTAATGCTGTTTGTACCTGTATCATTACCCTGCAGCAGTGCTGCACGTGCTGCTTTAGCATTCAAGCTGCAGTGTGGTTGTTGGTCAGCCTGAGACAGATGTGTGCCCTTGAAATCTTGAGTTGCTTTCCTTGCAGGTGCAGAGTGACTTAGTCCTAACAAAACTGATACCAGTAGCCTAAATCAGTTACCTTGAACAACTAGGAGCTTTTAGATCCTCCTTCTGTTTTAGAGGCTACATCCATTTTGTTGGAGTTCGTGTGCTTACCTAACTGATGATGGCTAACCTTCAAGGCTGGCTAGACTTGGAGATCCTGTAGGATTTCCTCTAGGAGCGTCTCTTACTTGGCAGTTATTCCTACAGCAGTTTCCACTGATATACTTTCTCGATGCTGTTCTAATACAAGCATACCGACTGCTTTGAGCTGGTTATAGGAATTGACTGCAAATGCTTTCTAAATATTATAAAAGTTTGATATATTTTGAGGTTTGAGTCACTATTTGGATCTATGTAGCTTGCCTGTTGGCATTGCAACCAAATGCATACGTTTCTCTGTCTTCTGAAGTTGTGTTCCAGAATATTCTTAGGATCACAGTGATTTTTAGATTGTTTGGTCCCTTTGCATGTCATATATCTTATGGAGAATTAATTTGTGTGGTGTGTATCTTTGCTTTTATGCAACTGAAAGTTTTGGCACTAGATGGCAGTCATAGTCTTGCAGCCTTCATTTAAAATTTCGTAGGACTTTAGTATTGGCTTAATTTTTCAATGCCATCTTTCCAGCAGCTGCTAAGTATACTGCCAAAATAACACCATTTACTGCTGTGTAACTTAATGAATTTTTGGAAACTTTTTTCTGTTTTTCATACAGCCTGAGGAGGCTCCTTCGCTTGCTGTTTCTACTGAGCCATCTGTAATTGTCTCAGAGAGCGATTCTGACAAGATCGCTTCCCAAGTGCCACAGATGCTGCAAGAGACAGATGTTTCTAGTCCCAATATTAAGCAAAACAGTGTGCCTCCTCCGCAGAGTAAGTATCTCTCAGTGCAATTCATTTGTCTGAACTCGGGGTGTATTTTTTCACCTGTAAAGTGTAGGTAATCAGAATGCTTTGCCCTGAGGTTTGGTTCTACAGTGCTGTATCAGGTACTTGAATATTTCATTGCCATAGTCTGCCATATTTTTAGCTTTCATTGAAGTACTTTGACAAATTTTTTCACTCTGAGGAAAAACTGGCTTCATATGCTTGAATGACTGAAAATTGTCTGTTGGCCTTGCCCAGTCCTTAAGAGACGTTTGGGCGTACTCTCACCAGCAGGACTGGAGCTCCATGCTGTGACTAAGTAGTTCTGCCTGCTTGCAAGCCCTCAGTGGAACAGATGGATGCTAACATAGCAGATGACAGGATGTTTAACAACCAGAAACTTGAAAAAAAAAACACAAACAATTCAGTTTTCAACCTACTGTTGTTGGTTTTTTTACTTCTCAGTGTAGTCCATTAACATCTTTTTCCATGTTCTTACATGAAATGTAGTAATCACAGAGGAAAACAGTTGCTAATATGGAAGCAGAAAGGTATGGGGTGATGCCCTTATTTCTGTTGTGGTCTCACAGCACATGCATCAGGCTGAACTAGTGGAGGTACATTGCTTTTGAAAGTATGTTGTGCCCAGAGGTGTCAAACACATCCTTGCTTGTACTGAAGTACTTGCTTAGTAAGAAAAATTAGAAAGGAAGTCATGATGTGGAAGGCAGTGCTTTATGTCTGACTTAGGCTTTTTAATGAGATTAACAAATACGGACGTTTTGCAAGAAGTTGCTGGCTAAGTGTTGAAGTACTAACCCAGTTTTTAAAGACTCCAGAATAAACTGGATGATTCACAGGACTAGGTGGGTTCAAGTGCACTAATTGGCTTCTTGGTTTTGGACATATTAAAAGTCAATATGTCAACTCAGAACTTTTTGCTTCTAAAATATGAAAGTTTTTGTGACTGATTCGTGCCTCAGCAATTGAAAGTGCATCTCTAATGTTCAACATATAAATTTCATCTGATTTACGACTCTTGGCAGCCAGCATGTTTTAAGGCAATATGCTTTAATAAAATAATATATTGCTTTTTTTCATCATAGATTACATGTAACAATGTGAACATCTAATGCCAGTTGTGTACATGTACTTTATTTCCAATTAGCACAAAAATTAATACTATAAAAAATACATTTATAAAATGAAATACCTACGTTCTGTATCACTCTGTGCTTTTAAAAAAAAAAGTAGGTGGAAATTAGCAAATTTTGGTTTACATGCACTACAAATTAGATTATCTGGGAGAAGCGGGTGAGTGGAACTGTACTTCAAAAATCATGCTAGTTGCTTGTTCTGAATTACTTCATAATAATATGGAGTGTACTATCAAAGATTTTTAAAGTTGATTTTGTGTAAACTTTCTCAGAGCTAATGATGTAGTTATATTTTGTTTTTAGCAAAGTCTGAAGAAAGCTGGGAATCCCCCAAACAAGTTAAAAAGAAGAAAAAAGCAAGAAGGGAAACGTGAACTTCCTGGGATGGACATGTGTTGCCGAATAGTATCATGAAGATTATGCTGTTTATGCAATAATTTGTGAACATGTACAGAATTTTATATAAATTTCAAACAATTTTTAAAAAATGAACTGCTGTGAACACAAACATCTTTAAAAAAGGAATCAAAGGAAAGTAACTTTATGATACAGCAAACAGAACATGCTACTTTCAAAGACATTCTGAAGAGTCTGTTTTTTCCAGCTTCTGGAGAGAGATCTTAATTAAAACAAACAAACGAACTTGTTTTCCAACACAGTGCCCTGTTTACAACATCTACAGCTGCGGATAAAAGATTAATTTCAAGGAAGGGTTTTCTGTAAAAATATTCTGTACAATAGTGGGTGTTTCTTGCCTCTCTTATGAGTGATGCATTAGAAGCACAGAATGTCAACCATTTGAATTTGTTTCATGCCTAAATCAAAGTGCTTTGATTAAATACATAATCTGCCATATCTTTACAGTAAGTTGGTTAGCAAGTCTGCTAGCTGTTACAGGAATCACAAGTGCAAATCATTAACCATTTGTACAGTCAGACCTTCATGGTTTATTATATGAAGTTAACACAATAAAACTGCTTTGGGTTAAAAGTTTGAGAATGTGATTTGAAATTTGAGTATGGTTCATGAAGTTATTTTTTATAATGTCTATTACCTTACTTGAATTATTGAAGATAACAGTATATTTTTAAGAATGCAGTAATGTGCATAAAATTGGTTTTCTCCTTCATTCACTACAGTTCTTGATTGATCCAGGCTCCCATCTAAAACTGTATTTTCAATTTCAAAACTCATGGAATTAATTGAAATCAGACGTTCCCTTCACACTGTTTAACTTGCCATACCAAATTCTGTTCTACCATACCTAATTCTGTTCTGTTCTCTTATTGCTAAAACCCTGAAGAAAGTGAAGCAATTTATTTTTTTTTTTTTTTTTAACTCACAAATGGCTTGGGATTTCAAAGATCTGTTGGCGAACTGGAATGGCTTCAGACAGCTTTAATTGACATTGTCAAGATCAGTGATCAGGAACACATTTTTTTACTGCCTTAACCTGTAGTATGTAGAATGTGTCTAGACTTCTGGACAGGAGTTAAGTGTTTTTATATTAAAAAAAAAAAGTCATGCAAGTATAGCAGTTGTAAAATAAAGACCATTTCCTGCTTGAAACTGTTAATTAAAATGGTGTTTTAAGATGTGTTGTCATTTTCAGGCACTGTGTAATTACATGGTATCAAACTGGCAGATGTTTGTCTGTAAGGTGCATGCTCAGCCATGTACCCTGTAAATAGCCTTTACAAAAGTGTGTGGATGAGGATGGTAGTTAACATCAGCTGGGAAATTCAGATGAAGAAAAGCAAAGAACTTTTTAAAATTATTGACCTCTGGTTTTGTGGCACAAACAGAGTTGTTAACATCTGTAACACATGGTACTGATCCACAACCTTGTAGTCTTACTGGACTGGACTGCAGTTCAACAGTGTTGCAAGGTGAGAATAGTTAATGCAGCAAGCTGGCTTTAATCATACTGAAAACGCACCTTGCTGATGGAGAGCTTTCCTAATGAATGGATACTAACTTGCACAGGTAATAACTCCTGTGTATCAGGAACATGTGACACTCTAAACTGGTTTGTTAAAATAAGCATATTGACAGTATTGATTTATTTACTGGGAGGGAGTAATGCCTGAGACTGATACCTGTCATGATTCATGTGAAATAAACCTGGAACTGAAGTACGGTTTTTCAAGACTTATCTTAAGGCAAACATAAAAATAGGGTATTACAGAATCATGCAGAGTCCTTTGCATGTAAATAATATATTTTTACTTGTCCTCATAGTAAAGGTTAAAAAAAATACACTTTACATTCAGGTTTGTAATGTACATCCGAAATGTCTGTTTCCAATCTGTATGTTGTGCTCCAAGCTTCTTTTGTAGAAAATATGAATTTATGTAATGAGAGAGACTACCCCCAAGGCCTTTCACTGGATAAATTGTTTTTTTTTTCCCTTGTTGAAGATAAAATTGGTGATATTTCTGGGTTAGTAAGCTCTAGCTCTTGAATAGCTTGTATTTCTGGAAAAAAAGCAACAAACTAGGTAACAACATAGGCACCTTTCTAATTAACTGCCTCTACTAAGCAGGATCATACAAATACATAGCCTTCCTTTCTAAATGTGGTTACCTATATAGCAGCAGTTCTTGCTGTTCTCTTAACGTGCAGTTTCAACATGTTAGAAAGTGAAACTTGCTTTATTTGACATTCATTAAAGAGGTAGTAACTGTGTAGCATATTGTCTATAAATCTAGAAACTTGGTTATCTATGTACTGTCATGTTTCGATGACTCAAGCTGTGGTTAGTCTTAATGATACGCTGAATCCAGACTTTGGTATTTGGATAGAAAGAGAAAACACCATTTAAAGAAACTTAAATCTTTTTTTTCTTTTTTTCTCCTTTGTTGTTGAATGCATGAAATGCATAATCATAAATCCAGTATGTTGGGTTTTTCTAAATACTCCGGAATTATTTGTATGCGTAATTTAAACTTGTTGTGATGATGTGTAATTGGGTAGTCATGGCATATTTTTATTTCTTTTGTGGGGAGGGAAAGGTGTACAGAATTCATATGTGCTTGTTACAAAGGTAACAACTGTGCATTGGTTTGGAGGGGGGTGGAAACTTTATTTCTGATGCCCTTTTAGAAGTCTAAAGAAAAAAGTGCAAGTGAAAAGCACTACTTTAATATTTACCAAGAAAGAATGTACATATTAAAAACATTTCAAACTTTATAGAAGTACTTCTAGTACTGTTGTGTTGTAACTGAATTGTATTGCATTAGAAACTGCCTCATTAAGTCCTGGCCATGGGATTGTCCTGTGAATAAGGCTTTTGAAAAGTGCAGACATCAGAATACACGGTTTAAGCAGACTTTCAGCTGTTACTCATCGTACTTGGTTTGCCTTTAAATGACTCAAGCTGGTCACAAGTCAAGACTTCTGTTGTTAAAAAAAAGTCTCTTGCAGCTGCTTGTACCTGTGCACCTCATTCTAGTGACTGCTGAGTACCAGTGAAGGACAGTTTCAGTTCTCCAGGCTGGTACTGAAAGATTTCTTCACTGTTCTGCTGTAAAAGTTGGGGAGGAAAAGAAAAAAAGAAAAAAAAAAAAAGTGGAATTACTCCTGAAAAGATACTGCTAAAATTATTTTACTGTTAAAATTCCAAATGAATTGCTTCATTTAGGAACCAAGAGCATCAACCGAGTGAATTGAGGTGGGGAGAAGGACCGGGAAGGGTTGTGTGGCCGATAGTTCTTAACCTGGGTGCAGTATCCCAATGGATTTTATGCCCTGCAGGACTAGCAGAACCACCATTAGTTGGGATAGGTGTTGGGAGAGAAGTGGGATAACTTGTAGTTTGTCAGACTGGGGAGTAGGGGGAAGGGGGTGATTATTGTTTATTCTGTATCATTAATGGTTCACAGACTGTTCCCACTGAAACTTAGTTAAATTGCTAAAATTATCTAGCTTCCATAGCAGTCCCTTCAGTTTATGAAACTTGAACTTCTGTTCTTTTAAATATCTAGTTAGTTGTACCAAGTTGGAGGTTTCTGGTTCACTGAAAATCAGTCTTTACTGAAACTGTCATGTCTTTAATTTTGGTGTATTCTGGAAAGGAAAACTGCATTTAAAACTCTTTAACATGAAACTACTGGTTTCAAGGTTTCATAAAATGCTCTTTAAAAAGCATGCTTAGGAACATCTGCAGCTCAGAGCAAGTACTATCCTTTCTATCTTAATTGGAGCATCAAGTGACCTCTTTAACTTGTCTCAGTACTTTTAATTTGGGCCATGGCAGAGGGTAAGTCATTGACCACTGAGAACCAGATCACCACAAGGAACTCTTAAAACTGACTAGTTCAAGGCAGTTCCCTGTTTTCTCAGAGACGGCAAGTTGTCTTCTACGCACAGTGTTTCCACTTAGCTGTTCAATAGGCTCTGACTTGCAGTTAACAGATTACTTATTTCAAACATCTGATAAAGTATTCTGACTGAGGCTGCCACAGCTTGTTTTTCACCACTGTGCCATTTCCTTGACCGTCCTTGTCTATGTACCTAACGAGCAAAGTCGTGCCGTGAGCTACATCTGCAAGTGAAGCTGTGGATGGGAGATAACTCCTCTCAGATCCAATGCTGTAACTTGGACTGACTCACTCTTGGACAACCAGGCTCTAATGCGTCTTCTGATGAGGCATTCTGGATGGGAGATGAGTGTTTCTGAGCCTTAGCCTGTTAGCTAAAAAAAATGGGAGCTGTATCAACTGAGCAGCCCTCTGCTGTTGTGGGGCTGAGTGGCTGGGTGTATGTCCAAGGACATGTCCAAGCTTTACTCTGCTCTCCTAAGTCTCTGAAGGCATTCTGAAAGATTGATAGCCTTCCATTTTCACCCATACGCATATGGAGTCATTGTATGTGAAAAATTTCTGCAGTCCTGGCTGAAAACTACAGAATTTGTTTTCTCAAGAAGTTGTTGTTGTTGGAAGTTTAGATCTGATCTTACGTGAGCAAAGTGCAGTGGTATGTGAAATGCTGTGAAATCATGCCCATGGCCCCTTCTGGTTCATTATCTCAGGTTACTAGAAATGAGCTGACATCTTTCTGGAGGGGGGGAGAGATGATGCCCAAGCTGTCATTACAATTTATGAAAAGCTACAGGCTGGATTCTAGATTGGCTGCTAGAGTGAAATCATCCTGATTTAAAGGTAGATTGTTTATAGCTCTAAATAACTAAAAATGGGAAATTAATTAGTTTACTAATGAACAGTTATGTTCAATTCACTATTTGTATACACTGTGATTAAGGTATTTTCTTAAACTTTTCTTCGTTGCCTTGAAAACTTACATAATTGCCTTACAAAAGGCTGAGAGGTGTTCAGGCTGTTTCTCCCTTCCTCTGATCACCCCCCTCACCTTTTTTGTCATTTGATCTGCAAACATACGACTCCTGAAAGGCTCCCAAATGTATTTGTACCAATGTCAACCAGTATTGCTTTGTGTTTGCCTAGGAGAAGAAGGGCTGTTTGAACTGGGTGATATTCCATGTATCCATAATAATCTATGCCTTGGGAGCTGAGCTGTTTTGCGGATCTAGCACATGCTGGAACTCTTGTTTTCTTCACTCTTGGTTCATCTTCTAGTTCCTTCTTTTGCTTATTTAAACCTGACTGGCAAAGTAACCTCTCCCTGACTGTAAACTTGAAGTATCCCAACATCAAAATGTCACTGGTGAAACTATTTTTGCAGCCAGAACATTTTTCTTAAAGCTTCTCTTCTAGATCTGATCTCGGGAGTGGGGGGACCTTTTAAGATAACTTTGTGGATCTCTCATCCAGAAGAGCTGGAAGACTGCAAGTGTTCCTCATAGAGGCACCTGTTTTGCCAGGTAATGCAGTGACGAGTCCTTCTCCATGCCAAGTGTCTTTGGAGCTGTATGTTGTGCCCTAACTGAGAGACTGTGAAATCTGTAGAAGGTATCTGAGACTAAACATTTTTAAAATATTCACAGTTGAATGAAGAGGAATTTC